AATATGCATTAATGTTTATATATGTAACAATGAATGTTAAATCATTTATTTGATTTTTAATTAACTAAAACTGAATGTTAATTAGCATACATAGACGTTAATAATGAAGTACATTTTTGAAGAATTCAAGGTACTCAAAAGAATTCAAAATGCTTATATGGACCCAACTATTTGGACGAATACAAACAATGGAAAATTTCATAATTAAGAGGTTAAGTTTCACCTATTTTAAAATTAAGAGATAGGGTTTAAATTTTCAAATTTCAATTTTTTTAAGGTTTAAAATTTCAAATCTCAGATTTTTTTTTAAATTTTATTTATAAATAAATTAAGTAAACATATATTTTATTAATTAAATATATTAAGGTCACAATTCCATATAACTTGTTCACAAATTCTATATAATTGGTCACAAATTTTATATAATTGGTCACATATTATTAATTTGTCACAAATTATTTTACGGTCAAAATTCAAAAAATTTATAGGTCACAATTTGTTTATCGATGACAAATAAAAAAACTGAAATGTCAAAAATTATTTTACAGTCACAATTCAAAAAATTTATGTCACAATTTGTTTATCGATCACAAATCAGAAATTTTATAGCTCACAAATTATTTTACGATCACAATTCAGAATTTTTATAAGTCACAATTTATTCACCGATCACAAATAAAATTTTTTATATGCCACAACTTATTCATCGGTCACAAATCACAAATATTATAAATCAAAACTTAGTAGACAATCACAAATTGTCAAATTATCGGTCATAAATTAACAATTTTTTTAGGTCACACATTATTTTTTTTCACAATTTTTTTTCATTGGTCACATATTATTTATTAGCCACATATTAACCAATTTAATGGTCACAAACAACCAAATAATCTGTGACCACCACCTTGTGATCACCACCTCAACACTCCCTCCAACGGCACCGCTGCCGCCATCGCCGCTAGAACCACCATAACCACCACCTCCCGACGGCAAAACCATCTCAAACAAATTAACACAACACAGAAAACACCACCACATCCTCGCATCGATCTACCACCACCTCGACAGGCTTATCGTTACCAACATCTCACCACCACCACCGCCACCAACAAAACTACTATACACAACCACAGAACAGCCACCATCTCATCTCACAGATTTGTTTCACTTCTCGCAGATCTTACAGACCACCACCACCTCTGCCACCAAAAATAATGCCGCTGCCGACGAATAAGACACCAACAGCTCCACCTACAGGAACTTGCTCTCAACTCTCAATTTCTCCATCCCGAAAACAAATATAATAGAAATTTCTGATGATCAAAGTAATGATGATGATGATGATAATGAGGGATAATTGCAGCAGCGGTCCCAAACCTTTCAATTTTTTGCAGATTATACCTTAACCTTTTATTTTGGCGGCTGTAGTCCCAAACCTTTCACTTTAACGGCAGTTGGAGTCCATTGAATAAATTACATCCAATACTCTCTTAGTCAACCTGAAATAAAATGTTTGACTCAATTTGACAAACTAAATGAGGGGGTAAAATGATATATTTACAATTTCTGCAATAAAACAATTAACTAAAACAAAAGCATCGTTCATATTCTCCAAATACCCCATCCCCTTCCCTAAAATAAAAAATCAAGAAACTCAGTCGCTGTTGTCACCACCATCCAACTGCCTGCCGCTGTATTGCCTACCATCGACAACGTAAACCACCATCACCGCGTACCCAAATCTCAAACAACAGTACAAAAATCTGGCTATGACCAAATTGTAGATCTGCAAAAGCCAGCTCTACCTCATAAATCATGAAAAAGATCAACTGTTGTTAACAATATGAGATTACCAATTAGACAAATGTAGTTCATCCAATTCGTGTATCAATTATTGATCCACCGTTTGTTCTCGTTGTAGGACAAATATTAGAGAAAAAGATGTAGAAATTTATAGTCACCAAAAGGGCCACATGGTGCTGGCATAACTGGAATAGAGTTATTGGGAAAATGATGATGATTGTATCAAGCAGCTGAAGAGATTTGAAGAGAACCAGTGTCTTGAGATACTTGTACTTTTGTATGGATAACTTGTGGAGATTCTAAACAAAATTTCCAGAGCATGCAAGAGGGTCTCAATATTATTAAATTTATCTTGGCTTCAAAGTTTAAAATTAACTTTTGATTCCTTCATCTGATGTCGTTTGGGCGGGTGGTAGCGATGGCTGCGACTGGGTTTCCTAAATTTTTTATTTTAGGGAAGGGAGTAGGGGACCTTTGGAGAAGATGAACAATACTTTTGTTTTGGTTAATTATTTTAATTTTTTTATTATAGAAATTGTAAATATATCATTTTACCCCTCATTTAATTTGTCAAGTTAAGTCAAACATTTTATTTCAAATTGACTGACAGAGTATAATGAACTCCAACTGCCATTAAAGTGAAAGGTTTGAGACTGCATCCATCAAAATAAAAGGTTAAGGTATAGTTTGCAAAAAAAAATTGAAAGGTTCGAGACAGCTACTGCAATTATCCTCAACAACAACAACAACAATAATAATAATGAGTTACAGCTTTTTCCGACGAGCGCTTGTGATTTAGGTTTGCCATCAACGGCGTCTAGGGTAGAAGTGTCAAGATGGACGGGCCAGCCAGACCCGTGAAAACCGGCTCGGATCGACCTGGGACCACGGCCGACCCGTGACCGGAGCGGGCGGTTCACGGGGTTAAGGGGGTGTGACCCACGGGCTTTGTGAGTTGCACCTTCAAGGGCGACGGTTAACCCGTTGGCCCATGAATTTTTTTTTTTTTTTAATTTGAAAAAAAGGGGGGGAGTGAGCCAACCTAGTTGGAATGTACTTAAATTATAAATTATAATAAAAATAGATGCCAACCTAGTTAAGATATACTTATACTATAAATATTTGATAATAGTAATTAGAAATGCATTATGTTGTTATTTGTTTAAGTTAAATTTAACTTTGCAAAATTATAAATAATTCATGTAACATTATCTATGTAAACATTTCTTGGTATAAATATGAATTTATCATTTTGTTCAATTCTTAGTTTACATTTAATAAAAAAAATATTTTTTGCTATAAATATGAAAAATTTTATTTTTTTATAATTTTATTTATATAATAATACGGGTCAAATCGGAACAAACTGCAACCTGCGCGATCCGCATGGGCTCGACTCGGATGGGTCAGCGAGCGGGCCTGGGTTGCAGTCCAAAATTTGTGGGCCGACCCGGAACTGGGGGGGCTTTTTGTCACGCGGGCCGTTACCGGGCTTATATGTTAGCGGGCCGACCTGGCTCGGACCACCCGAATTGACACCTCTAGTCTAGGGCTAAATTTTGGTTGAATTTGTCGGTGTCGGAGGTTCTAGGAGAATTGGGAATTTACAAGGCGCCGCATTAGTTGTCACAAGCTGTGAAGAAGAGTAGGCGTGGACCCAGGTCTTGGAGCTCCCAGTATCAGAGTGATCGCCGGAGCCGAAACAGTCTTCTACTTGTTGATGAGCCACCGGAGGGAGAGAATAGAGAGAGAGACGAGAGAGTCGAGATTGAGGAGAGAAAG